ATGTAATTTCGCGCTGGTAAGAGCGTGCCACGCTCTTTTGGCCTAGTACCGTACCTGAGGGCGCATCGTGTACCCTTGTATTACCAAGAGGGAAGTGATTTTCTTCGCGAGACGTAGAAAAATTCGATTTTAAGCACCACACCGGCGGCAGTTCGATGGTTATTTTTGCATCCGGTTATAATCATCGATGGGAGGAAACGGATCCTTTAAAACACGAATACTGGTTATCCTCGAGCCTTTGACCTACTGGTTAAAAATCCTCCGACGAGTCTCGGTACCTGATTTTTCGAATTCTTTTTTCTCATTATTTGGAATAGAATAACTTGAATGTTAATCCGAAAGAAAGAAAATGGTTCAATGTTCTATGAAAATTGTTGAATATATATTCTTGAAAGATATCTATTGAAATTAATCTGAAAAATGTTGATTTCAATCACGTTATTATTATTTTACATTTAAAAATAAAAGTTTGCAGAAAAAATACCAAAAAATAGATTTGAATTAACTCGCCTCTTGGATACGGAATCTGAATCGTCCTTTATGCGAAAATTAGCTCTTTCCATTGCGGCCGGTTATTGTGTAATTAATCTCACGGTGCATCGGAAATAAATATTCGCGTGTAATTGAAGCATCGAGTAGGTGTGCGCTTAGTCGGAACGTGATGCAATGTTAATGAACGGTATATTATCCGGCAACTAGTATCATTGCAGACGATACCCGCTGCCGAGCCTGGTAATTGTGGCCAGCATTACTGATTAGACGTAATTACCATTTGGCCAAAGAAATGTCCCCCGTGTTAACGCGGCTGTCTCCACTTCGATGCTTCCCCACTTCGATGATTCCCACTTTTCTTCTGTCGCGCCTAATTCTTCAATCATCTCGCCTTGGAAAACGATCATACATGTGCTTAAGTTTGTGCATAATTAAAATTATCCACCGATTACGCGGTTGGGTAAATTTACCGCAATAATCCATTCTTAGTTAAATCTGTGACGAACAATGGATCCGTTGGTAACTATGGAGGATGGATGGAAAAAATTGCCGTCGGGGGAAGGAAGAGAGAAAGAGAGAAAGAGAGAGAGAGAGAAAGAGAGAGAAAAAAATAACGTCAATTCTGGGAAGACGATTAGGAACGATCAGATAAGGGGCGGTGGGCTGCGAGGAACGTGTCGTTTCCCACCCGCTCCAAGACTTTCGACTTAATTAGACGTTTGCTGTCGTCCTGATTTTGTCAGCTTTAATCTTGCCCCGTAACCGGAGCCAATGACGCGCATCCCATTCGCAATCAGGCAACATTACGGACGACTAAATATTTGACGACTGTACGATGTTGACTCGTCGTTCGATAAAATGTGTTGCGACATTTCTGCGATAATATGAAATACGAGGTGGTGATTTATCGTGGTATAGTACAAATGGGGGAAAAGATTACGAAATATCGAGAATTTTTCTTTTGAATTTTATTTTGAAAAAAATTTGCCTCGATGATGAGTATTAATTATACGGATTGGAAAAGAGACAAAGATTGCTCGTGGGCGAACAACCACGCTTTGGATTATCCAGGATTTTATCCTTTTCAGCGCCTTCACCTGTCTACCGTGTTGCATTCGTACAGATACAGATCGGCAAAAAAAGGCCAGTCGCGTTACGAAATTTGCTCGCTGGCTGAAATTTTTTTCTTCCATCGTGCTACCGGCCTCTGCATAACCGGCGCGAAATTGTTCCGATAAAAAATTCTATTACCTATAATGCGACCGCCAGCCAGATTAGCATCTTTCGAGGAAAATTTAGGTCACACGGATCGACGCGTTGTTCCTTTTCGCGGTGTGCAATTTTCTACGATCATTGTAACCATCTTGTAGAATCGTTAAAAATATTTGACGAATGAGAAAAATAAGAAAAATAAAAAAAAATGGATATCGAGGAAAGAGAAAAAACTACGAGAAATGATTTTACATCTTCGATGAATAATTAATTCGCGAAGATATTGCGTGTACGATCTTAATGAAGAATTACTGTACCGACTACGTTCGATAGAAGATTCCCCTCGAAAAATGGATCCAAGTGTACGTGAGAACAGAAAAACGTGTCGTTCGAGCTGCTCCACCTCCAATACCGGTCCACTCCTTTCGCGGTGGATTAATGGGCGGAGCCAAGGACGTCTGTTGCCAAACTGTCACGTTGACGTTTGATTGTTCTTTATTTCATTGCATCTTCTTAAATTCTTCTTTTTTAATACAAAAGTCAAATTCAGAAGAACACGATTTACCAATTGGAAGGAAAAAAAAAAAATTTCCAATTTCAGTATTTGTTTTTTTCGTTTTGATTAATTTAAAAAAAATCGAATCGCAATATTTACCATAAAATAAAAATAAGCGTCACAAAAAAGAACCGCGAATGAAAGAACATTCCAATTTCGAGGAACGTAACAAAAACTAAAACCACCGGATCTTTGGAGAAAGGAAATTCACTCGCGTCCCAGATGTCAGCGTCACCCTCAACCCTCGATTCCCGTCGAATTCGCGGTCGATAGGGGAACCGGGGGAGTCTCTTTGGCGGTCGAAAGTCCGCGTTCCATGCATACAAGCGTAGCTGGTCGAAGCGTGGTCTCCGGCTTTCTTTACCAAGCTATACCCCCGACGGAGTCTGTCGGGAGTAGTGGCAGCGTAGTACGCGCACGACGAACGAAAAGGGTCCCCGGGCAGGTAGAGAAAACACCTCGACGAGCGAAGGGGCCCCGAGGGTGTCAGGAATCGATGGGCGTGGCCGAGTTATGCCACCACCCACACGGACACCATAATGGCCTCCGCGCGACCAATGAAACGGCTAAACGTCACGGCCGCGGAGTGGGGGAATGGTGGAGCGGCCAATCGGTGGGCGCGCTAACGGCCGGTGTGG